AGAAAATGAGCTGATAGAGCAAAGCGGATCAGTAGCTTGACAACTTGATGATCCTGAGGTACCTGCGATCATAGAACACATGAACTAAGCCGGGGGTTGATCCGGCGGAAACCGCTCAGCGAAGTACCCAATCGAAACTGATCATAGAAATAGTCCAGAGAATACAGTTGATCGTATTGCTCAGTTAATAGGCCGTACCTTAAGGAATGAATTCAAACATTTATTTATAGTTTAGTTGAGATTGTCGGACCCAAACCTTACTTGAAGGTGATTGGGCCTCGGTGATAGTGGTCTTCGATATTGGGCTCGTGGCCCAGTAGGTAAGTAATTTGTAGGCTCATTGGGTTGGCCCAATTATGCATATCAGCCTTCTTTTTTTTAACTGGTGTTCGGATTTCTTGAGATACAATGTTTACTTGGGATTATACATTAATTTGGATTTCGCAGTTGCACAATATTTTTTTTTATCTTATCTTATATATAAAAGAAAGAAACGTTGGGTAATTTAAAAAAATCCTAATGGTATTTTTGTAATTATTTATTTTTAATATTTTTTTTCTACTAACCCCTAATGTTATTTCTATAATTATTTATTTTTAATATTTTTTCTCTACTAATTTCTAACTATAATTTTTAAAAATTATCAAAATTAAAATTAACTCGAATCCTACCTAATTGAGTAATTGGTACTTATGTAATTATTTACTTTTAATATTTTTCTCTACTAATTTTTTAACTATAATTTTCAACAATTATTAATCTCCTATTTTTCATCAATATATCTCAAATCTTAAGAGACAGAGCTATAGTCTATTTATTTCGATTATAAATCTTAATATGTAAGATTTAAAAAAACTAATGTTATATAAACTATGAATAATACTACATTATTAAATTTTACTATATTAGTGTACTATATTTCTTATTATGTATTAAATTGATTTTTTTTTCACTACTTAAATAATATCTCGTGCATCGCACGGGGAAAAATGCTGGTATATATTAAAATAAAATCCTATTTTCCTACTTTAAAATTTGATTTTTTTTATTAAGATACTTTTCTCTTTTATTTTCTTTAAAGGCTTTAATTTGTTTATGAAATACGAATTGAAATTAATGCTTTCTCAATAATTCTTTTTTAAATGTTAAATATATTATTGTTTAAAAAGTGGTTCATAATTTTTTTTTCTATTAGGATGAACCGATTTGTTCTACATAACTAAATGTCATCGGGGATGTGAATCATCTCGAATGCCACCCTACTACCCGGATCTCGTCTCGTCTGCTCGAACTTTCAAATAATTCAGAAATTTTATGCATCAGAACTAACTAAATTAATAATATTGTACATACGTCACCGGGAATTAATTAGAAAGTTGTCGAAATTTTGTCTGAAAAATCGTGAGAACGGAGACCGTCGCCATAAAAAATTGGAAGGGGTTGTTAGCAGATTCTTCAAACCTTCAAAGACAATCTTGATTTTTTTTAATATTAGGAGACATTGTGAGATAGAAATAAATCTCAGAGGTCCTTTTTAGTGATTATGGATACTTAAGGGGCTTTTTTGTAATTATGAATATCAGAGGGAGTACTTGGTAATTTATCCTTGACCATATTTTTTGAAAATTACACATTTCACTTGTATTATTTCAAAATTTATTTATGACCAACAAATTTGATAAAATGACAATAAGGAATCATCAAAAACAATATATATATATATATATATATATATAAGATCATTATTGCATATAACAAGAACCAGGTTCTTCTGGTGCAGCTCTACCAAATCCATCCAATGGAGCAGCAGCCACTCCCCTTTGATTCAGCAGACACCTAAAATACGTTAATCGATCCCTCACTTCTTCCGGATCCTTTGCTATCTTGTCGTAAGGTGTCCACAGCCTCTCTACGTACATCCCAGAAAAAAAAATTATAAAAATAAAAATAATTTTTTTTAGGAATATTGGTTTTTATTTTTTTATTTTTTTAAAAAACCTGCAGCTGCTGCAGCCCTAGGCCATATAGTTTGCTCGATATCAGATGCATCGATATGTTCAGCCCACATGCACACCTCACCACCAAGGACTAAAGCTTGTTCGTTAGGATTGGTTATATTCGTTAACGGCTCATTCGTGTAGAAGCCTTGCCAAAGAGCATCTAAATGATCCAAATACCACTTATCTTGATTGCTCACTATACATCGTAATCCATCTTTAACCACTCTTTCCGCAACACCACTTCCAAGCCTGTAATTTGATTATAAATTGAACATAGGGGGGATTTTGCTAATATTTATAACATGAGGAGTTTTTTCACAATTAGAGTAAATACAGGGGTGCTAAATGCAATAAACCCCTTATTTGAATAGTTTGTGTTTACGATAACTTACCAATTATGGACCACGGTTTTACGGCTCAATTTACTGCCAAAGTTGTTGAAAGTCTCTTCCCTGTGATGGTCGTTAATGCGTTAATGTAGTTTTATCATCTAAATGAAATCGTGATTAGATTAATAACAGAGATTAGGCTGATAAATTATACTCACCAGTTAATGATTTCATATCCATGTGATAATGCTATCTTCTGTGCTCGTAGCACAAAATACTGATAAGCCTCGGAAGCATTCATTCCGTTTTTCTGTAACCTGTAAATGACGGAAATTAAATTAAGGTTAATTACTGATACTGATTCTTTTTTTTAGTGTGTGCGTGTGAGAGAGAGATTTCGGTATTTACCACTTGCGCACATGAGGAGTCAACTGCCAACAACCTGAAATCGGCAACAAATTAGATACGAGAATTATTTTTCGTTTCCCCAAAAAACTAAAAAACAGATTAAAATGACAGTATAATGAGCTGGAATTAAGTCGAGTCTTACTAGTGTCCACCTCGTCGCCTCCTAGGTGAATAAATTTATACTTGAAGATCTTACTGAAATCTGAAAAAAAGTACAAAATTTAACATTATTTTATTGAAAAAAAAATGGGCTTATAATATGACCGTATAACGCACGAACGCACACACCCAAAATTTAATAAAAAAATCAGTCGATCAATTTGAAGAAACAATTTATATACCTGAAAGAATCCCGTCTATCAATTTGAAGGTAAATTCGTTGCTAACGTCAAGTGGCTCTCTACAATCTGTCGAAGGCCATAAAGAAGGATATCCTACCCCCCTAAATATGTACATTTTGTTTTAGTTAAGGCTGCTAACTTTGACTGAATTAATTAATTAATTAAAAACGAAAAATAATAAGGAAACGGGAATCGTAAATATTGAAGATTTTTCGAATTGAAGAAAAATACCAGGATAGAGCATGCCCCGGAACATCAATTTCAGCCAACACGTTAATCCCACGTTTTTTAGCGTAACTGAAACAAATTTCCGATGAGTCGTAACTGAGTGACACAGTAATATAATACATATACATTTAGAAATAGATTACATTTCATCACTTGCCTTACAATCTCTATAGCATCGGCAAATGTATATCGTTCGGAAGATGAGTACGCACCATCCCACAGCTTTGGATATGACGGAATCTCGAGCGGAAAAGATTGCGAGTCCACAATATGCCAATGCAGCACATTCTGAAAATTAAATATAAAAAGAAAAAAACGATATAAAAAATATAGTCGAGTGAAATTAATATGTCTTAAGTGGTGTTACTTACGAGCTTGGCATAAGTCATTGAGTCGATGACCTTCTTTATTACTGGTAAGGTCTGATAATGCCTAGATGTATCTACAGCACAGAGAATGAACGAACATTAATGTAAGGCATATGAATATCCCTTATGTACCGCGAGAATATTCCTTATGTACAGATTAGCATCTCACCGATCAAAAGGCCTCGATATGAGAACCGAGGCTGATCGGAAACGGTCAATGGAAGCTGATGGGCCATAATGCCCCTCGATGAAATGTTGAAGTAGCACACTTGGCTAAATGTCTGTCAGATATTATTATAACAAAAAAAAAATCATCATTTACTCTGTTTCAGCAATTCGGGAAAAAAAATTAATTAAAAAAAAAAAATCGAACCTGCAGCGCATGCAAAGCTCCATAAACAGTTTGTGCCTGCACAAACGTAAATTCAAGCACTAATTCTTAAATTTTATTTCTAAAATTTCTAGGATTACAAGAAAATTAGATATTACCTCTAACAGAGTATGTGAATATTAGATGCATTATATAAACCACGGAAAAAATACTCGGAGGGTTGTATTTTTTTTTTTTTTTAATTCTAAATAATAAATTTGGTGGTGCATACCTCAATTTGTGCATAAAGTCGATTCCCCTGAGTAGGAATATGTAGCTTGTACGACTCGTCAACGCCATGCTGCAACTGCATTAAGCAAGAAATAAATATTAGAAGCAAATTTTGATAGAAAAAAAATAATTATAATAAACGAAACCGATGTACAAAATCAATCGTTTAATCTGAAAAGGGATCTGAAAAGAATCTCGAAAGCTACGGATAGGTAAAGAGTACCTTGTCGGAAGGCGAATAGACAACTACATGAATTCCTTTGAGCAAAAAGGAAGGATCGATCTTGGAAGTATTTGCTTCAATAACATGAGTTGCTCTTACAACATCAATTGTCCTAAAAAACGCATCCTTGAGAATATTTGAACCATCGGAAAACTTACTCCCTTCGGTTTTCAGCTCAAGATCGTTGCTGAGGAAAAGACTTTTATACCCATAGCTCACCGATTTCGGCATAGGCCATATATTCAAGTGCTTTATATCAACACCAAAAGCCGATTCGACAAGAATATATACCGAAAACCAAAGAACTATTGTTCGTAGCCTCGGTCCACCCATCCCAATATCCTTCCTAAAAAGAAAACGAAATCAAAAAATATTTTAATCCCGTCTCATATATTCGTTTCATTCCTTCGATAATCTAATTTTTTTTTCCGATAAATGATTGTACAAAGGGCACTTGTAAATAGCATAACTTTTTTGTTATCTCAACAGTTTGAACTTTGAAGGCATGAAAATCTTGTTTTTTTTCAGAATAATTTAAGACTTGACAGATATTCATTACATTAATGTATTCCAAGCTGTATCAATAATTAACATTAAATGAGAGCCAATTTCAGTTACTCCACAATCTACACATAATAACACTGTAAATACAAGAACTCATAAATTAAAAAATATATATATATTAAAAATATACACACACACACACACATATATATATACACACACTTAAACTGAAACATAAATTAGAGGATAAGTGAAGAAAAGAGACCTGACAAAGAGGTGCCCCCACCACTGATTTCCTTTTTTTTCCCCAAGAAGATGATGCAAATGGGAAATGTGAGGGTAGGTTTTGAAGTTTGAACCAAGAATAATTAATTTCCCACAGTAATACAAATAAAAAATAATAAATTATCAAAAATTAAAAATTAAAAAAGGAAAGAGCTTTTTGTGGGCTAAAATTAGGGGGAAAAAAGAGGAAAAAGGAAAGTGGATAATAGTCCAAAGATTGGAAGGTAGAATAATAATGGCTACCACATTTCAACTAACAGTATATATATACCCACATAAATGTCTGTAATATTTGTTCAGATTGAGGCTGTTTCTCCCTCTATCTACTGCTACCTGTGATATATATATATATACACACACACACACACAGAGGTGCGCACATGTATATAGATACAGAGCCACTGTGTGCGCCCCAGTGGTGTAGGTTAAGTAGTGGGCATGACAGAAACGACAGTAATTTTGGATTGATTCCCTTTTTCGCCATGTGAAATGTTCTTATCTTTGGCGGTAGTAAATTCGGTGTGGGGGAGGAGAGAGAGAAGAGAGAGAGAGAGAGAGAGATAAAATACGGGCTCCCGCCATTATTGTGACCTAACATTTGTGCCTTTTTTACTGATTGGTTGATGATGACGTAATGTCGTTTTATGAGTTATGACCTGTCGTATTGGTTGGTCAAATTAAATTTGACTATATTTTTTAATATATTGCTTGTTTGTGTTCCAAATGTTTAGATATGATATTTTTGTTGGTTTCCTAATTATTTAGACCATTTGATGATCAATTGCAAATTGCAAATTGATAGAAAATTTATTTTGAATATTTTTATATGAAAAAATATATAAATAAAAACTTATATATATTTTTAAAACATATTTATAAATATATTTCTATATTTTTAATATTTAGACGTTTTCCTCAAACTCTCGTATCCTTATTTTTGGGATATACCGTTTTCCCGTATTTGTTTTCCGTATCTTTATTTACGTTTCCGTGCTACGCAGCAGTATATCCATTGTGGGTAAAAATATTTATTTTCTAAAAGGACCTTACTTTTGCCATTACATTAAGATGTTGGCGAGTATTTAACAACTCAGCACTCTATTGGCTTTTGTGGTTGTCCTTGTCAAGCTAATCAGCACGGCATATTCATTTGATATATTAATAAATATATATTTAAATTATAGAATAAAATAATAAATAAATAAATAAAAATTGAAAATACTCTTGTTTTGTTTTGTCAAGGTAATCGAGTTTTGGTCACCACAAAAACACTTCGATGCTTAAGTCAGTGATCAAGAAAATCGAGAGAAATTAGGGGGAAATCTCAAAATACGTGAAGGTGATTAGGAATGTATTAATTACTCTAATGATAATTAGGCTATTTATACGCAAGTTTAAGTTAATTATGGGCTGGAAGCCCATAATTAAATTAAAAGAAACCCACAAATAAATTAAATTATCTTATAATTGGACCTATGTTTGAAATTGAAATTAAGCCCATATTCTTAATCATGAGCTTGGGCCCACATTTAATTTTTTTTATTTTTTATTTTTTGTTTCTTTATGAGTAATGAATAGATATGTCATTGCAAGTTAAATATCTTATCAGAATCCTATTTGTCACTTTTTTTAATTTTTAATTATCACCTTATTGATCATAGTTTAATTAAAAAAAACATTTTAAAGTAAAAATAAGTAGTTCACCATATTTGTCACCAAGAACGTTCATTGTTTGATTACCCACCCTCACCTATCAATACAACCCCCTACATATATATATATATACTTTATACACATACACTAATTACAAAGCATCACCCAAATATTTTTGCTAAGTCAAAAAGAAAAAAAAATGGAGATCAAAATCAATGCCATTATTCAATATACAATTTCCATATCAATCATCTTAATTTCTTGCTTAGTTCCACAAAATGCAGCACAAGTACAGCGACAACAGTGCATGAACCAGCTTCAACCGTGCACGAATTACCTAAACAACGACAAAAACCCGTCGGAAAGTTGTTGCCAAAATCTCGATTATGTAATCAAATACATGCCAGAGTGTTTGTGTAGCATGATGAGTGTTCAAGGAGCAAATAAAGCCGAGCAAGCAGGCGTAAACGTCGCGCAGGCACAGACTTTGCCCGGAAGATGCGGTCAACATATTAACCCGATAGGGTGTGTTACGGGTACACCCGATAAACGGTCCAAGAATTCGGCCCCGGAATCTTCTGATTCCGTTTCAATTTCTTCGAGCTTCACTATAGTTTTTGTTTCTGCTATTGCAATATTTGTGACATTGTAGCGTACATTGAGCATCCACTCATTCTCAGTGTGTATGTCCAAATATATATCCTATATTTTTGTTTTTGTATTTGTTTTTGTTTTTTTTAATTATGTTTAATATTTGGTGTGTAAAATTGATTCGAATTTGTGTATCAATGATATACTTGTGAGCTACTATTGAATTCTTTCGTTTGGGAATTAAGATAATATTTGATAAATAATATAATTTTTTTTTAAGGTTTATCAAATGTTTGGAGTTTATACTTTACGCCCGTATTCTAAAAATCGGTCGAGGCGGTCCAAAATCTGTATGATTTTGGTGTAAAGTTTGGAAAATCCGATTTTGGCCTGTTGGCGGCGTGAAGCGGTTTGAGACAGTCCTAGACCGGCCAAACTTTTAGTGGCAAAAATCGATTGAAAATCAATTTCTTTTTTTAGGGAATTTAATCAATTAATTGAATAAACTAAATATATTCCAATAATTTATTTAACGATTAGGTAAATATATATGAAGAGTAATAAAATATGTATATTATGTCAAACCAAAGTAATAATTTTCTTAAATAAAGAGTAATATATTTTGCTCTCTTGATATGCTTGATGTTCAATTTAAAATAAAAAAAAATATATAATATATATGTACAAATAAATTAAATCATTTGAATATAAATTCATTTTTTACTTATATTTTATTATCAATTTTTTTAAATTTATTTTGGATAAAATAAAACGAACGAAAACTTTGAACAGTTAACATACATGTAAATAATACCAAAAAAAATATTTTATTGAATCAAAATATAAATTCATTTTTTATTTATATTTTATTATTATTATTTTTATAGTAACAATGGTGGGGTCCAGGTTTGTATTTTATAAAATAAAAAAACAAATGCAAAAAAAATACCTAATATTGGCGGTTCAGTCACGCCGTAAATTAACAGAAGTTGTAATTAGCAACTCTGTGCAACCATGACCGGCGGCGAGGACCACAACCCAAACAAAGCCTTGACCACCACCAAATTCTCCGACCTAAACCCGCCGCTATCCGAACCGGTTCTGGAAGCACTAAGGGATTCCGGTTTCGAGTTCTGTACACCGGTTCAAGCCGCCACCATACCCTTGTTATGCAGCTACAAAGACGTTGCAGTCGACGCCGCCACCGGCTCCGGAAAAACCCTAGCTTTCGTCATCCCCCTTGTCGAGATCCTCCGCCGCACCGCCACCCCTAAGCCCCACCAGGTCTTAATTTTTTTTTTGAAGTATATAAATTTCAATTTTATGCAGCTATTATGCTTGTTTTAGTTTATTTATCTAATAAACCTGAATTCATAGTATAAATGTAGTTTTATACCATTCATAAGCTTTTAATTATTTTTTTTAAATTTTTTTTTTTACTTTTCCATGTTTGATTAACATATATTCTGATTAATTGGGGGATTAAACTTATTGATATGTGGTAACAGGTGTTGGGAATAATAATTTCTCCAACAAGGGAGTTGTCATCCCAGATATTTAAGGTTGCAGAGCCGTTTATCGCGACATTGTCGAATGTGAGGCCAATGCTATTAGTCGGTGGAGCGGAAGTGAAAACTGATATGAGTCAAATAGAAGAAGAAGGAGCTAATCTGTTAATTGGAACTCCCGGGAGATTGAATGATATAATGGAGCGCATGGATGGATTGGACTATCGCGATCTCGAGGTTTTTCTTTGTCTTCGTATATGCAAATGCTAGTTTTGTGCCTCTCGATTTTTTGTTGTTTTATTAGTGGATTATGAATTCTTGGGCAGGCTTAGTTTAGTTTAATATCAGATTTTGCGGTAGTTGCTTTATATGATGCTGTGATGCTCGAGATTTTAAGTAGGGTTTGAATGCGTATTACGGAGATTACTTATTTTTCGTTATGTTATGAATAACCCGGGATGTCCAATCTGTACTATCACGAAAAAATGTTAATCTTTAAAAAATGCAAATACAAGTACTTACTTGGCAAAAGATTTTATGGCTACTATTGAGGTGTATATTCGATGTTTGACTTTTTTATTCCATTTTATCCTTTTTAGTTGAGTTTCATAGCTAGTGATATGTTTTTGGGTGAAAAAATATGCAGAGTCGATCAAATTCTCTGCAGTTCAGTTTTTTTAGTAAAGCAATTTTGACATTGAAGTTGTTTAGGTTACTATTATGATTAGTTCTATTGTGTTTTATATTCTTGGTGGGATTATATGTTGTTCTTAGTCCTTTTTCCTTTGTTTTATTTGTCGATGATTTTTCCATTACATTATAATATTTTCCAATTTTTGAGATGTGGGATATGCCGTTTCTTGAATGACGTGTTATGGTGGAACAGATATTGATATTAGACGAAGCTGATAGATTACTAGATATGGGATTTCAGAAGCAGATAAGTTCGATTATATCACGTTTACCAAAGCTTCGTAGAACAGGACTTTTTTCGGCTACTCAAACTAAGGCGATCGAAGAGCTATCTAAAGCAGGATTAAGGAATCCTGTGAGGGTAGAAGTTAAAGCTGAAGTAAAGGGACAAAACGATAATGCATCTTCTCAAGAAAATTCCTCTTCAATAACTCCTTCGGGACTTCATATCGAGGTTTTCCTTTGCTTCTTCTGATCTTGATTATGCTTAAGATACTAATGATGCTTAATCACGGAGAATGATGTTTATGCTTTTGTCTTATGGTACGTGATGTACAGTATCTTCAATGCGAAGCCGACAAGAAACCTTTACAGCTCATTGATCTACTCATCAGAAACAAGGCTCAGAAAATGATAGTGTGAGTTGCTAATTCACAATTTTTTTTTTTATTTTTTTAAATTTATTAATGAGCTGTTAGAAATTCTCGTTAATGTATGTAATATCCTCTTCTCTTTGTAGCTATTTTATGACTTGTGCGTGTGTTGATTACTGGGGAGCTGTACTTCCTTGCCTTCCTTCAATGAAGGGTTTCTCTCTAATCTCTCTTCACGGAAAGATGAAGCAGGTATTTTTTGCGTATACGATAATATTAAGTATACATTTTTGGGCTATTTTAAGGTTAGAGTGTTGTCTGAAGTATTTATACTATGTATTGCAGGCAGCGAGGGAGAAGGCATTAGCATCATTTACACCTCTTTCGAGTGGCGTTCTTCTTTGCACTGATGTAGCAGCACGTGGGCTCGACATTCCTGGTGTTGACTGCATAGTACAGGCAAGCCCACAAACCCGAATTTCAGCCCAATTTTATTTAAAAAGTAGAATCCGAAAATTATTGCGAATTTTACCGATTTTGGATGCTTTTACATGGGTTGGGATTTAACTACAATATAACAAGTATGGTGTAGTAAAATCCTAAGATTTTACTGCCGATTTTGACTACCTTGGACAAACCCGCTAAATAACTACCGTAATGACATCTGAACATATAAAGGTGATAGTGAATTCAAACTATTTTCTCTCATAAGTAACTGAATACAGAGGATTTGATTACTGTAGCAATTGACGTGAACTCACGTGGTAGCTTCTTTCAGAAATGCCTCAAGGAAAAAGGGAAAAAGAAAAAAAAAACACGAAAGATGATCATTTACCTCGATTAATAAAGCATCTCTGAAATATCGTTATTTGATCTATATTTTATCCAGTAACCTTTATTTTATTTTTTTTAAAAAGGTAAAACTAATTACGAGAGTTGATATTGTTGTATATTCAGTATGACCCTCCGCAAGACCCCAATGTGTTTATACACAGAGTGGGCCGAACTGCTAGGATGGGACGACAAGGAGCTGCAATTGTTTTCCTGTTGCCAAAGGTTTGTCTATGCAGAATAGCTTAGATTCTTTAATTGTAGTGTGTGTGTGTGTGTATATATATATATATATATATATATATATATATATATATATATATATATTCCGAGAAGTCATTTATTTAATTGGTATTCTTGGTTCAATCTTTCATCATTAAACAGGAGGAAGCATATGTAGAATTTCTGAGGATAAGAAGAGTTCCACTGGAAGAGAGACAATGCTCCGACGATGTTCCTGATATCATTCCTCAGGTAAAAACAAATTAGTTTTACAATTATTCTCTAAATATTTACTTAATATATTGATCTAAATGTTGGGACGATATTGTTTCTCCAGATACGTTCGGCTGCAAAAAAAGATCGTGACATTATGGAAAAGGGACTTAGGGCTTTCGTATCGTTTGTCCGTGCTTATAAAGAGCATCACTGTTCTTTTATATTCAGGTTTATAATTATTATTTTTCCATAATTTAAAATGTCATTTGTTGATTATTCAAATTTGACGATTTTTATTTATTTATTTGCAGGTGGAAAGAACTCGAAATCGGGAAGTTGGGCATGGGATTTGGTCTATTACAGCTCCCATCCATGCCTGAAGTTAAGCACTACTCTCTTTCTACTGCAGGTTTTGTTCCAGTTGAAGATTTACACCTGGAAGATATCAAATTCAAGTAAGTTTTATTTCTTTATTTTATTCATTTAAAATAATAAAATGAAGTTTCACTTACCAAAATTCAATTAATACAGGGATAAGTCTAGAGAGAAACAAAGAAAGAAAAACCTGAAAGAAAGACAAGCTGCAAAAGAGGAAAAGAAGACGAAGTTTAAAGCACCGTCAAATGCTCCAATAACTGCCACCAGGAAGAAAACGGCCCGACAAAGACGAGCTGTTCAAACAACAGAAGATGCAGATGAGCTGGAACGAGACTATCGCCTACTGAAGAAGCTGAAAAAAGGAACTATTGATGAAAACGAATTTGCGAAATTAACTGGAACAGAAGATCTGCTTTGAGACTTTTACCGAAGGGAAAAAAGGATGTTGAGTAAGTTCGTCGTTTTAAAATATTTTATGTTGAAACAGTTTAGCTAGTTTGTTTTGTGGTGTGGTTCGTGAAAGTTAATGCTTAGGTTTTTTTGTACTCTGATTTTTTTACGGAAACTAATTCGTAGAGTTCTATACATCAGTTTTGTCTTCTTTGGTACAAAGAAAAAATCTGCAGAATTTGAACTCCTGAACGCGAACGCGAGAGCAGTACGTACAACACGAAATCCTCTTGGTCGTTCTTTTTATATCCTCTACGCTACTCAATGTTATCAAATCGACGTATTGCATCGTAATGTTTTCCTCTTATACCGTATCGTACCGTGTATCATAAGATACAAGACCACTTGTTATTCTAATTAGAACATACATATATTTATATATTTACGTAAGAGATGTTACAAACTTGTATTTTAAAAATCACATCACTCATTTCAAAATAGATATAATTTATCAAAAATCAGATCACTCATTTCAAAATAAATATAATTTATCGACTAATTTGTGTATCGCGACACGTGGGATAATACAAAGATATAAATAAGTGGGTCCTGCAACACGAGGCAATGGTTGCCATTGGTTGCCTAGCAACCCAATTATCAATGGACAGTTTTATCGGATAAACAGACGGCCGCTACATTTTGTCAATCCAAAGGGGTAAAGTAACCAAATCGATATCATAGGAGTAAAGTGCCAAACCCTGAAACCACAAGGGGTTAAGTGCAATTTACCCTATAAGATTTACACGCACATTCTATTGATTAATTACAACCATATTTAAATATACGTATTTAAAATAAATTGCATTCGTTTTAAATTTCCAGGCTAATTTTGGATGAAGATTATTATAAGTTTGTTCAAGATAACATTAATTAAAGGACAATTTTTATTGAAACATCACCACTCAAATGAAAAACTAGAAGTCTAGAAATGATGTTTTGATAAAAAAAAAAAAAAAAAAAAAAAAAAAAACTAGAAATGATGTTTAAAGAGCATAGGAAGATAAAAACCAAGATTCTAAAAAGGGACGAAGATTCCCGCAATTACCGGAACTATTTCGAAGACAACCACGGTACGGAGCCAACCGGCTGGTCTTGCTCTCAAAGTTGTAAAGAAACCATGTTTCTCCCTTCTTCAATAGTACCACAAGCGGGTCCCGCGAAACGACCCCGTCGAAACCAACATCCGCACAGCCCATGAATACGTCGAGAAAAAGACACTTTTTCGACATATCAATGCCTTTGTACAAACACTCAACGCGTATATCGTGCATCAACACCCATTCACGTCTACGTATCGTCGTATCCCTCTTGTAGCTCCCGTTATCTCCACCGCCCTTTTCGAGCATCCAAAATTTCAACCACGGCGAGTCAATCGCACCGTACAACAAAACGTCGTCCGGAAAAGGCGACCTTGTAACGATAACGGAAGTACAATTACCACCACTAGTATACGGCGCCTTAATCAACTGCAAGTGTTTTTTATACTTGTTTGGATCGTAAACCGCGAGTTCAAAGCTAGCCGTAAGCCAATGGAAAACACCATTCACCACCACCGGAGGCATGTATAGAGGCTCGTATGGAGACTCCGTAATAGAGCCGGTGGCCTTGAGTGAGGAGGTGGCCCACATGCCGGTCACGGAAGAAAAAGTCTCGATTTTCATAACCTTACCCCATAACTCACGTACTCGGACAACAATGTAGTTTGGTTCGAGTGCGGTTTTGTTCTCCTCGCACATAATTGCGTCGAACGACGACAAGTAGAGTTCGTCCCGCCAGATAGTCGGGGGCCGCGGCAGAGCGACGCACTTTCCCGTCACCGGATTAAGCACGGTGTACATTGTGACCATATGTTTTCCGACAAGTTGGAGGAGACCACAGAGGATTAGACCGTTGGAGGAATTGACGAAGGTGCCGAGCCCTTCTTTCGGCACGTGATCGAATGTGATGTTGCAAGGATGAATGGGGAGTATATTCATTTGAATGGGATCTCCCGGGATAGTCGGGGGCGTGAATTTTGTTTGGAACAAGGCCAACAGACGGCCGTCGCCGGAGCTCCGGCGTTTGCTGTAATTCTCGATGAAAAAAGGATCGTTGATGATGGTTTTCCATCTCTTTGAGACGGAGATGAATTTGAATACGGATTTGGGCGGTAGCTGAAGAAGTAACTCCGTTAGTAGATCGTCGTTGCTCTCAATCCTTTTTGCTGCATTCATGATGGCGCTTCTCTCACTAGAAAAAAACACACGTACTACAAGGTGTGAGAAAGTAATAAACCCTAAGGAAGAAGGAAAACCTAGGAACACGAATAATGTGTAGGAGGAAGGAAACAAATGGACTCTAAATATTTCACTAGAAATATTTTTATTTATTTATTTTATGTTATTTTCATTATTATTATTATTATTATTGATGTATAGATTACCTTGCTGATCAGACGGAAACCCCTCCGATAGGGTAGAGAACACTAGATCAAATAGAACTCGAGAGATATTTTACAATGAGGCTGAGGTATTATTTATATTAATTAGTGGTAGAAACTTAATTAAAGTATGATTCTATGTGGATTATTTCCACTTAGAATATAACTCTAATTAGTTACTTAAAAACCGCTGTTTATCGTTTTCGTGGTACTATAATTATTAATTTATTATAATTGTAAAACTACATACCAAATAACTTGATTTGCAAATGATTGAAGAAAGTGACAAATTCACCATTGAAGAGATATTTTCGTGAACAAAACCGCATTAACCAAAAACTAGATTTTCTTTTTGTAACTTTAAGAAGTAATTAACTTGCATATCCAACTATAATATAGAGTAGTAAACGTCCACTCTCGTGTAATAGTTTACAAATTATTGTTAATAGTACTGGGCAGAATTAAGCTAAGTTCGACAATCTCGACCTAGAAGAAAATAAATAACCTAACGAACTACTTAAAGAGCATAGGAAGACAAAAAAGAAGATTCATAGAATGGAGAAACAGAACCACTATAACCTCCGTCGCCACTCGAAAAACAACCGTCTATCAACTCACCGGACTCGGTATCTAAGTTGTAAAGAAACCATACACCACCCGTCATTATCAAGACGACGAGTGGGTCCCACGAAACCACGCTCCCGGGCTCACACATAAGATAAAAATTGTCCCATCTATCATTTTTAATTATGTCTTCTGGTGATTTGTACAAAGGTTCGAGGCATACGTCGTACTTCAAATCCCATTCGTCGTCGCCACCGCTCGTGTGGTGGGTCCCACCTTCTCCCTTGTCCTCAAGTTTCCATAACTTCAGGCGCCTCAATTTCACCGTTCCGAACCATAACATGTTGTCCTGTGGGGACCGCGCAATGATAATGTAAGTGAAAAAATCAGGGATGATCGGCAACTGAATCAACCGCAAGTGATTTCCTCCGTCGCGGTCGTAAACCGCGACGCTCCGGTCGGTTACAAGCCAGTGGAAAACACCGCCCGCCACCACCGGAGGCGTGTAGAGGCGCTCGACAGTGCGCGCCGCCGTAAGCGTGGATAGGGCCCACTCTCCGGTGGTGGATGAGAACGTCTCGATTATGATAGTATTTTCTACGCGGTGGCACACCCGAACTACGGTGTAGTTCGGGGTGAGCTCATCCGTGTTCCCCACGCACGAAAATCCGTCAAGCGACGAGTAGAATTCCTCGTTGCGTGGGGAAGCAGGCGGCAGTGGGGCCCACCTTGCGGTTGCCGGATTGAAGACGGTGTACGTGGTGGGCCCGCTGCTGCAGAGGATTAGACCACCGGAGGGGTTGAAAAAGCGGCCGAATCTTCCGATCATGCCCTTAATATTATCCGAGATATTAACACAAATAGGTACTACCTGGATTTGTTTTTTGCAACGAATGAAAGTTCTCTGGATGAAGGCCAACATATGAACACCACGACGACGTCGTTTTATTGTGTAGTTCTTGAGAAAATAGGGATTTTTGATGATGTTATTCCATCTCTTCGAAACGGACATAAATCTGAATACGGATTTTGGCGGCAACAGAAGAAGTAACTCCGTTAGTAGATCATCGTTGCTCTCAATCCTTTCTGCCTTCATGGCGGCGGCGTATGACTTATGAGAAGAGAGAGATAATTAGAGGAGATTAAATAGTGATTAAGGCCATAATCAAAAGTTTACCTGTGGGCCGGGGCCTCCTTTTAACCATAATAATGGGCTAGAGCTTTGACCAGTCAAAATTAAGCCCATTGCTGAAAAAGGGTAAAAATGTCAGAAAGGTACAACGCTCGTAATATTATTTCGAAATATCTGTTACACAGTATAAATTCTCTGCCGCAGGCAGTCATACTGAAGAAACTCGAGCTTCCAAAATGCTCTAAATCTTTCTGACCAAATTTTTTTGACTTGAAAAAAAGAATAAACAATTCGTAGCAATTTTGTTGCGATTTCGCCTCCATTTTTTTCAGATTGATCGTCTCTTGCATTTTCAGGTCAGTCGTTTTCGAATTTCGTTGTTTAATCTCCCCCGGAATCCACGGAGGTTTATCCATTTCTTTTTTCTGCGTGTACCGATTTCATATGCTGTTAATGTTTAGGAGAAATGTTTTGATTTTATTTAGTATTTTGTTGCTCTGAGAGTTATTGCTGTTTTGGATTTGAGTATTTTGAGCATATTTTGTTGGATTGATTGCCGTCAAATTTGGGTGTGTAGAGAGTTTTGTGACCGCAGTTCAATTGTGATTGCGTTTCGTATGGTTGTTTGCAATGGTCTGTGTTTGTGAGGATGGAGAAGTGAGAATTATGCTCAGGTTACTCACTCAGATACAAATTTTGATCTCTCCTTCATGATTTTATTAATTAGATGAACTTGGATAATAATTGTTTATTCCACAGAAACAATCAAGCCTTTTCTGATTGCAAAATAAGTTTCCTTTCGGACAATTTTTTTTTTCTGAGCTGCATTTTTTGTCACCAGCACATGTATAGTATACAATTATTAATTACAGAAGTTGTTAGGGCTTAATGTTAGGATTAGGATTTTGAAACCCTTGCTTAATTTTGATTTTTTACTGATTTTAACACCAACATGCAGTCAGGACTTCATTGAGCCAAACTGGCTGTAGTCATTTATCAGAGAGCGCTGGGATGCTAACGTAATCATATTCATATTTCTTCGTAATGGCTTCAAGAGCAATACTACGAAAGAGAAATTCCCTTCTTGATTCTGTTAAGCGGCCCCCTTACCTGGTCAAAGGCTTTTTGTATTCCGAACAAGGTAAATTATTAGATACTCCTGAAACAAAGTTTTGCGATAGACCTGTGAATCCTTCATCTTCTGGTGCACACTGGGGAGATAAAGAAGGTCTATATTCTCTAACCAAGCACCCTGCACAACGTACTTTGACAAATAAATATGCTGGCTATAATTGTTATGGTGTCCCAACTATGCGCCGTGAGATTGGGAAACCTGTCGAGTTTATCGGATTTCGGTGGACGACCGATTACGCACGGTATCTTTCTACTGCTGCAGCTGGTAAGCCTGTATTAGGAGGCGGTGATGATAAGCAAGAAGAACCAGCGATTAAGCAGAAGAAGGATCCTTCGCCAGAAGAGTGTGACCAGGCAGTTGAAGGTTTGAGCACTGTTAAAGCCAAAGCCAAAGCTAAAGCCAAAGAGAAGCAGCTGCAAGATTCCCAAAAGGGTCCTAGCCTCATACTGAAGAGGATATGGGCAATGCTTTTAGGAATTGGTCCGGCTTTAAGATCTATTGCCTCTATGAGCAGGTGCATATTGGTGTTTTTCATTTTTATTGTCCCAAAAAAATATTATGTATAGAATGTGACTCTCACTGTTCCTTCTTAATATAGGGAAGATTGGGGAAAAAAGTTAATTCACTGGAAGGATGAGTTCAAATCTACGATGCAACACTACTGGTTGGGTACAAAGCTACTATGGGCTGACTCTAGAATAAGCTTGAGGCTTTTGTTGAAACTTGCTAGTGGGAAGACTCTATCCAGGAGAGAGAGGCAACAGCTCACACGAACAACAGCCGACATTTTCAGGCTAGTTCCTGTTGCCGTCTTCATTATAGTTCCATTTATGGAGTTCCTGCTGCCTGTTTTCCTGAAACTGTTCCCGAACATGTTACCATCAACCTTCCAGGACAAGATGAAAGAACAGGTACAGTTTTAAGCATCATAATGTTCATTATTGTGTCTGAGATTATCAAGTTGTTTCCGTTTGCTTTACTTTTCCCTGTATTAAGAGTTGAAGATCTTATTAAAGGGTTTTGGTTGTTGAAGTATTGCATATTGGCCTGTTACTGCTAAAAAAATCTTGAGCAGCACAAAATTTTGTTCCTACTCATACATTTTGATATGACTGTAGTCGTGATTTGTTCTTGAGACCAAAGTAAATGTAAGCTGCCATAGTCAATTTTCATATGGCTCTAATAAAAAAATATACGTGCATTGCCTCTTTTGGAGCTCAGCTATCATTATTACATCAGTTCAGGGTGGGTGGAAACAAAAGCTGTTATGCAAGTTTGGTAGAAATTCGTAACCTGTCTTATCCAAATTTCTCTGTTGTAAGATTCAAACTACGGATGCATTCCGAATATCTGTTCTTAGTGATTAATCATTTCTTTGGTTATGAATAATATAATCCCATTAGTTCAAAATTACTTTAGATCCAATCATCTGATTTAGGAGTATGTCTCTTGTTCTCTGTATCTCCCATATTTACAAGTTCATCTCAATTAAAATGTTCACTATAGGAGGCCCTGAAAAAGAGGCTAAATGCGAGGATAGAATATGCAAAGTTTCTTCAAGAGACAGTAAAAGAAATGGCGAAAGAAGTTCAGAACTCAAGAAGTGGAGAAATAAAGAAAACTGCTGAAGATCTTGATCAATTTATGAACAAGGTAAGAAGTCTATGGGCAAATTGTTTTTTAAGTAGTATGTTTACTTGCTTCTTAAAATAACCAAAACACCAATAGTTCTTCCAGTAGTATTTTGTGTTGACTATTTTTTATTTGTGTTAACTAGGTCAGGACAGGGGCTCGTGTCGCTAATGAAGAAATCTTGGGCTTTGCCAAGTTGTTTAATGATGAGCTCACTCTGGATAACATCAGCAGGTAATCCACATTTGCTGCTGTAATTTGGATACCTTTCCTCGTTTATTGCTTGTTGCTGAATTAGAGTTTATGTGAAATATCCTTCATATCTTCTTGAATGCAGACCCCGATTGATGACTATGTGCAAATATATGGGTATCATTACTTATGGTACAGATGCATATTTACGCTACATGCTTCGAAGCAAGCTTCAGAAGTAAGTAATATTGTCTAGCTTTATTAGTTCATATTGCTTTTGATATGAGTAAAAGCGCAGTTTCATGCAAGTTTTGTGTTTGTTTACTGCCTACAAACATCAATGAAAATTAATATCAGCAAACAGAAAACATTGCATTGTTCCCGGGATCCAGGGTTCAAGTAGTACCAGCATTATTTAAGAAAAAAAAAAGTGAAAGAGAAGGAACATGAAAATTGGTTGAGTCGTGCCAAGGAAAGACAGGGAACCATTGGGCAGAGAGAAAATATGGATGCCATTTTCACTTATAATTGAGGCAGTCTGGTTTCTTGTAGACCATTTGAGTCAATTTATTCATGTTGCAGGATAAAGGAAGATGATAAAATGATTCAAGCTGAGGGCATAGAATCCCTTTCAGAGGAGGAGCTTCGCCAAGCATGCCGGGATCGTGGATTACTTGGACTTCTCTCAGTTGATGAAATGAGAAAACAGGTTAATTAGATTATTTGAAGTACTTTTCATGTTATAAGAATTTGCTGCTACTTGGTAAAAGGAAATGTCGATGGCGTGGTGCTCATGACCCTTTTTGCCACCTATAGTATTAGAAAAGAACAAAAACTAGTGTTGCTCTGTGTATCTCCTTTATTAGGTTCTTCTTAACTTCATCTAGATGGTTTTTCTCTAGGTCTCTGGAGTATTCCTTAGTTCTGCAGCCTTTTGTTTCGTTTATTGCTCCACCTTTGTTTTATATACTCAGGCTACTGAATGGAAATTGTGCTCTGTCTCTCTGCCTATAGATGAGTTCTATTAAAAAAAATCTGACTACATTCTGAACCAGCAAGATGATTTTTATGCCCTATATATGCTATTGCAATTGTAAAATATATAAGAGAGATTTTTCATCTATAAATTTGGATATGTATTTCTGCAGCTGCGAGATTGGCTGGACTTATCTCTCAACCATTCAGTGCCATCATCTTTACTAATTCTGTCTAGGTAACCTAAGTTTCAATTATCTTTATGGATTTCAAATTCTGGCATTGTTGAATATTTTTTTATTGATACCTTTTTACAGAGCATTCAGTGTCTCTGGTAAAGTGAAGCCAGAGGAAGCTGTTCAAGCTACTCTCTCATCTCTGCCTGATGAAGTGGTGGATACTGTTGGAGTAACAGCTTTGCCTTCTGAAGATTCCATCTCGGAAAGGAGAAGGAAATTAGAGTTCCTGGAAATGCAAGAAGAATTAATCAAGGTCTGTTTTCTTGTCACTTGTTTAGTGTTCTCTTTGTTCAGATGGAAAGAAGAAATAACAAGTGTCATTATGTCAAGAATTGGTCTGAAACTTGACATCTAGTTAACAAACCAATACCCCTGATCTTTCTTGATCATAATAATTACGAATAAGCTTTCTTTTAAATCAGTGAGCATTGTGTATACTAACTTTCATATCATGTGGCCTGTCATTTTATAAATTTACAACTACATATGAAATATTAATCTTAAATGCTCTAATGTACTTCTTCGGATTTCCCCGATAAAGCAATTCCCAAACAGCCCTTGATAGTTTGTTAATATTATATTGTCTTACTTTTGCACCTCATTTGCATGTCAACGTGTGGTTCTAAAATGTACCTGCCACGGACGTGTCAAATCTACCTGCATAAACTATTTTGATAAAATTAAGAATCTTAATTTGCAATACCCTCTTTTTATGTTTTGATATGTAACAGTTAAACTTAATAATTTCTTTTTGCTATCACCTTATTTCCTGCTTTCAGTTAATAGTTCTTATATTGTTGTTTATAGGAGGAGGAAGAAAAAGAAGAGGAAGAGCAGGCTAGGTTGAATGAATCTGCTGCAAGGCAGAAGGATGTGGCCTTGGAAGAGATGGTGACATCAACTGCAAAAGAAGTTGAAGAACGTGAAAAGGCAAAAGCTTTGGATAAGCAAGAGCAACTTTGCGAGCTGAGTCGTGCGTTGGCTGTATTAGCATCAGCATCAGTAAGTATCTACTATGCTTTCTTCGTGTTTTACATCATGCTTCTTAGGCTCATATAATTGTTTGACTTGGTTTACTGCTTTCAGTCTGTGAGCAAGGAGCGTGAAGAGTTCTTAAGACTTGTCAACAAAGAGGTAGCTTTAGTTATTTGCTAGTGATTTTCTGTAAGACCTAATGTGTGCATAAATATTTGAAACTGTGGACATGACCAATTTATGTGGGACTGATAAAATTCTCTATAACTTTAAGATCATTCATTGATGTGTAATTTGTAGATTGGGCTGTATAATAACATGGTGGAGAAAGAGGGTACTGAAGGAGAAAAGGAAGCTAAAAAGGCATATACAGCAGCTAGAGAGGAAAGTGATCATGCTGCCGAGAAGACTGTAGGCGATAAAGTCTCTACAGCACTCATAAACAGGGTAAGGCTGATTTCCAGAGATTCTGTTTTCTCTCTCTCTCTCTAGAATGAGAATTATTCTGTTGATGTATCTCACATATTTGCTGGTTTTTTCACATTGTAGGTTGATGCTATGCTCCACAAGCTTGAAAAGGAGATTGATGACGTAGATGCCAAAATTGGCGACCGGTGGCGGTTGCTTGATAGGTACCCACTAATATCTGTCGAATCAAGCTAGAAAATTCAATTGAATTCTATGTTTAATCTTGTAGATCGAAAGTTTGTGATTTTCATCACTTCCACTGATTTTCTAGTTTAATGAATGAAGTTTTAGATTTCATCGTGATTTTCCATTAGCTAAGTGACTAAACTTAATGGTGGCTGTAAATATCACTTACCAATTTCATTGTCACTTATGGATAGGGATTATGATGGCAAAGTGACTCCTGAGGAGGTTGCGTCTGCTGCTTCGTACCTGAAAGACACCTTAGATAAGGAGGGAATTCAAGAACTCATCGGCAAACTGTCCAAGGATAGAGGTTAGCCATGCGCATTATTTCCCATTCTGCCTCCATCATATTTTTCTGCATATGACATAAATGTTTTGAATTTATGGCAACTTGCTACTGCTAATTCTTTTGTGGAGATGTGAGTCATCTGTTAACTGTAACTTTTCCAATGTCATTTTAGCTTCTCACTATGTTTTTATGTCGTAAAAAGTTGATTATTCTGCCACTGGACTTGTGACAGATGGAAAAATTCTCGTGGAAGACATAATCAAGTTAGCAGACGAAGCAGAAGAAGCCGAAGCTGCTGAAGCAGGAAAATCATAAGAGAATTTCTCTCTGTCAGCAAATTCTCTGGTTTTGTTGACTTCTACGGACTGTTATCATTTGCCGTTGATATATCCAAACACGACACATGGGTGAGAACTTGACATTTTAATGCGGTTTTTTATTTATTTTTGGCCGACTTAAATAGAAACAATAAATGTTGTACATTTCACAATTTTAGCAAGTGGAAGCAACTGAATATCTACATAAGCATACATGGTCAAGACATTGACTACTGTCTGTGTATGTTGTAATTCTTTGTAAATGAGATAATGGTTCTGAGAATTGAGAAGTACTAAGAGTAATAACTCGTTTGCTATTTTCTATCCGGATTTTACGATGATAATCGCAAATGTTTCATTTGTTATTGTCCTAATTTGCTGTATTTGAGACTTGGGATGATAAACGAGCTGAGCCGACTTGTTAGCTCGATGAGCTGGCTCGAAAAAAGTTCAAACTTGAATTCGAGTTTTTCGAGCTCGAGTTTTTTTTAGTTGTTGATGCGCTCACGAGCCGGCACGCCAGCCTTAATTTTTTTTATTTTTATATATTACTTTTTATTTAAATAATGTATAATAATATAAAAAGAACATATAAATATTAAAAAATATATATGATCACAGTTTATTTTGTAAATTTCTTATTATAATCTAAAAAATTATTAATAATTAATAAAACCCCAAAATGAGCTTGGACTCGAGCTCGAGCTTCGGCTCGTTTACACCCTTATTTGATACTAAGGAATACAAATTTGCCTGAACATGCTCACTTCCTGACATATGACAAAGTTGGCAAATAATTTATACAAATAAACATCTTATATTAAAAAAAAAAAAAAGAAAAAAAAAAAAAAAAACTAAATCAAAGAATAAGTATATAACAATTTTCACTACTTTGGTTCAGCTCTGGCTTGAAGATCACATCCATTACTATAACCAAATGCATCACTCTCAATAGCCTCCTTCCTATTCAAAGAATCTTCATAAGGATGACCATTATTATTACCAGGTCTAAATTCTGTACCAGAAGACGATGCTGACATGGAATTCGTATTTAAGCCATCTTCATGCAACATAGTTTCTAGTAACTTCACGACCTCACTCATCGTTGGACGGTCTGAAGCAGATTCCTCCACACATTGCATGGCCAGCTCGAGAAACCTCGAAAACCCGATTAAATTTGAAGTGTTTTTTATTATTACAGGATCGATTCTTTCCCTCAAACCGTAGTGCGTTTCATCGTTCTTGTCCATTGCTATTCTCACTTCTCGTACAATGTACTTCCCTTTTTCGATGGGAAGTCTACTTGTAATAAGTTCAAGCATCACCACGCCGAAGCTATAAACGTCGCTCTTTTCGGTCAACTGTTGTGTCATGTAGTACTCGGGGTCGAGATAGCCCTACAAAAAGGCAAGACAAACCAAATTCGGTAAAGTACGATTTTTTTATGAAACTACCACTCGAGTAACTTGACATGAATAATAACTCACGAGTGTGCCTTTGACTTGAGTAGAAACGTGCCCTTTTGAAGCATCGGAAACTAGTTTGGACAAGCCGAAATCTGCAACCTTAGCTGTAAGATTTTCGTCTAATAAGATGTTGGTTGACTTTACGTCACGATGAATTATCGGAGGATGTGCGAGTTCGTGTAAGTAAGCTAATCCTCTGGCCGAGCCTAAGGCAATTCTTAGCCTCCTCTTCCAATCTAGTTCGATTCCACTTCTTCCTGCGTACGTAAATTTCAACTCATTTAGTGGCAGTTTCGAAATTAAGAGTGTCTTATTCTTGAAATAATATTAAAAAAATAAAAATAGAACCTGATAAAATTTCTCTTAGAGTTCCATTAGACATAAACTCATAGACCAGCATTTGATCACCTTGATTGAAACAAAATCCGACAAGGCCAACGAGGTTTTTGTGATGCACTCGTGAGAGAAGCTCGATTTCAGTCTTGAATTCATGTCCACCTTGCATGGATCCCTTTTCAGCCCTTTTCACTGCAACTACTTGTCCATCAGACAGCATTCCTCTATACACCTAAAAGAAAAAAAAAAAAAGAAAAAAAATCAATTTATGAAAATTTTGATTTTGATTTTTTAAGAAAATAAAAAATATATATAAACTGCAAACCTTGCCATAGCCTCCAGAGCCAATCTGATTACTCTCGGAGAAGTTATTAGTGCATTTCTTGAGTTCGTCGTACGAGAACCATCTTGCTCCTTTCAACTGCGGCGCTTCTCCGTTATCTTTCCCGCTCGTCGCCCAAGACGCTAAGTAATTTAAATAAATCAATAAAAATATGCCAAAAAAGTACAAAAAAAATGTTCATTATATTTGGAGACATGCATGCAAATAATGAGAATAATTACCGAATGGTTTACTAAAAAACATTGCTTGTTCGGCTCGTTTTTTCAAACGAAGGGAATATACCCCTAAAGCTACTAGCACAAGCACTAAAACTGCACATCCGGTTGCTATTCCTGCAATAGCACCTATGCTAAGAGTTCTTCTACTCCCATCTGAAATTTAAATAATATAATTTTATTACCACCATCTTTGTCATAAAAACGAAACCGAAATCACGTAATTTTTTTTTACCTCCGAAAAAATACGGAGATGCAATGAAATAGTACGGCCCAAAATCCACCGGAGGCTTATAAATTTGCCTACTCAATGCAAATCCAAGTCTTTGAATCTCTGACCTATTGAACAACTCTGCATCGGTCGGAAAAAGATCGATATCCATTTGTAGATATTCGTCGTCGTTGAATGAGAGACCATGCAAAGAAACCGATCCAGGCGAAAGGCTTAGATTTGTCGAAAGGCTGCTTTCTAAAGACATAAACAAACTAGCATTGGACAAGTCTCTGAATGAGGGTGCTCTGAAATACAGTGTTCCTTCGTACGGATAAGCGCACTCGCATGTTTGTGGGTTGACTTTCTTATCGGATTTACACGTTTGGGTCCCACATTTCACGAGGCTCGTAGAATAAGATGCGTCGAGTTGCTGAATCTGGCAGTAGACTGTGTTTTGTAGAGAAGATGAGCATACTGGATTTCCGTATAACCTTGTAGTAAAATGATAAAAGTTTTATTAGATTAAATAAAAGTGAATTTTTTTTTTCGAGTGAAAGATTTTTTATTACATTAGTGTACTTCCTTGTTGAGAGCCGAGTGTTACGGATGATATATTGTTGTTCTCTAAATCGATGAGCTGGAGTTGCTGGCTAGAAACGCTGCTCGTGTCTAACTTGTTACTTAAAGCATTGTTCTTCAGTTTTCTGTGGGAAAAATTGGAGGATTAAATCGAAATTAACGTCACATTTTATAAATATTTTTTGGAGAAATTAGTGGACTTACATTTGTTGAATCTGAGGTAAACTGAAGATTCCTGACGGGATTGATCCTTGTAACGATCCGTATTCGATTATTCTGAACACCAAACATCAAATATATAAATGGTTCTTGATTTTAACACAAATGATTTTATTTTGTTTTTTTTTTCGGTAGTAATTAATACTCACAAAATATTTAGTGACTGTAGAGTCGAGAACCATGTCGGAGGTTCGGATCGTTGAAAAGAATTGTTGCTCAAGTCCCTGTGGGAAGATCAAAAAAGGCATGATACATAATATTTCAAAAAAAATAAAAAAAATTCAATCATTGCAGTATAATGAGAAAGTGTAACACTAGTGAAAAAGAACGAGACGTTCTTACACGTAATTGAGGGAGATCAAGCCGGTTAAATTTGGTAGTGCACCGATCAACTTATTATGAGCCAAATTCCTGTAATAATATAAGCACATAACATGTGATTCGAGAAGTGATTGAGTCAAATAAGTTATTGTTTATGATCTAATGTTTATAATGTAAAAAAAATACCGACATTTCAATGATGTTAGTAAGGTTGTTGAGGTTTAACGGGATGCTTCCGTTCAGAGAATTACGATCAAGTCGACTGCACATTAATTTAGAAATCCAACTTAATATCACATAAGTGATTATTAATGCCAAAAATTAAATATACGAAAAAATTATAAGTTTTTTGGTTCACTCACAGAACTTCAAGTGACTGTACTAATCCGATTGTCGATGGAATACTCCCTACCAGTTGATTTCCATCAAGCAATCTGCCAAAGAAAGATTCTTATTATAAATAATGGGAGATGATACATACATATGTGTGTATATATACATAGCCGGTTGTTTTTGACTTACACGTGTATGAATGACATGTCTGAGTCGAAAAGTTTTCCTGGAATCCCACCCGAGAGCTGGTTTTTGTTGAAATGGCTGCAATAAAAATGCGTAAAAAAATTAGACATTACGAAACTTTAATTACGAAGAAGAAAAAAAAACCCGAAAGAAATTAAATTAAATTAAACTCACAAGTGTTTGGCAACTTTAAGGTTGTCTAGTCCTGGATTAACAGGGATTTGTCCTGTTAATTGATTGTCTGCTAAATCAAGCCAATACAGATTCGACAGTTGTCCGAGCGAAGCCGGTATTTCACCGCTCAATTGGTTCGAATTCAGTGCTCTACAAAAAAAAAATAATAATAAATAAATGAAAAATTAAGACATTGATGAAGAGGAATTAGTTATTATTACATAATATGAGCTAAAAAAAGAAATCTTACAGAAAAGTTAGCTCCGAAAGATTTCCTAATTCGGTTGGTATGCTATTAGTAAAGCTGCATCCAGCAAGAATCCTGAAGAAGTATTTACAAGTGTGAAACTAATTTATATTTATGGAGAAATTAAATTTAGAAATTAATTTTGTTATGAGTTATTTAGATCTTTACAATACTGTCAATTTTCGGAGATCGCCTAACCGGGGTGAGAGTGAGCCCGTGAGGCCACGGTTGAACGATAAATCTCTGCAAAATCGATAGCTTCGAATATTAGTTAGGCTAATTAAAAATCGAAACGTACGCTGCCGTATTACAATTTATAGAATATTTAAAGGAAACTCACAAGGAAATTAATTCACTAAGTCCTCCAATATCACCACTCATTGTACCAGTTAGTCCCATTGTTGATAATCCTCTGCATATATACATATATAATCATTAGTACATAATGATTGGCATGAATTTATTTTTATTTATTTAGAAATATAAATATATAAAAGTGGCATGGGAATTAATGATAAACTCACAGAGTGGTGACCCTTGAGTTGTTACAGACAACTCCTTCCCAAGATGCACAAGGATCACCACCCGACGTATCCCAGCTCGGTGGAACGTTTCCCCATTGATCTTTCAGCGATCGAAGCACAGCAGCTGCATTATATCGAAAAAAAATTCAATTAATAAATTACTTCCATTCGAGATGGTTTTATTTTACATAAACGGCATCAAATTAGGACCATTTATGAATTATGATCCTATGTTAGGACACCAAAAAAAAAAAAACAAGAATCGACCGTAAAGGCTATAGGTAGTGGAAAAATAAGAGCTTTATTTTTTTTTTTTTTACCGTCTTGTGAGTCCGTCACAGCATAAACGATACAACTCCATAACGAGAAAACGAGCATGTAGCAAAAGAGAAGCTGCCGTTTTTCTGCCATCGATACTATTTTCTCTCACCAAAACAAACAAATATACTAAATAAACTTAAAATGCTATGAAAATTTACTTATACTATAATTGCTTAGAACTCCATATTATCAAATACGCAAGAATTAAGAACGGAAAAAAAAAATTAAAAAATCTTGAAACTATTTTTTTCGCCAACTTTAAAGAATTGAACTTCCCAAATACATTCTTTGCAAAGGGAAAAAAAGAAATAAAAAAATTTATTTGGTGATCTTATGAAGATTAATCATTAGTTATTTAGCAATATAGTGTAACGACAAGCGCGAGGCGCGAGCTACAACGAAAGTACGTACAATGATGTTTTCGACACGCATTAATTGCTTAATGAGTCTATGTTTTCACTCTGTTTAATCCGCTGGCCGGCCAATTAAAAATCCAACAAATCACACTGTACTATATATGAAAAATAGCCTGTCTAGCTAGCTAGCTAGTTAACTATGTTTAAGCAATAAAATTAGTTTAATCCAACTTTAAAACCGCATTTTGTTTGAACTTTTCTGCAAGAGAAGCATCTTTATTAGGCAGTATTTATTTATCTTTCCAAGCACTAAACTACCACAAAATTAAATTTAATAATTCACAATATAATCTTGTGTGAATTCTATATATATATTCCTCGGCCTGCATAGCCCAGCCATGCATGATAATATTATATAATATATACGATTTCTATTTATTTTTTTGGAAAAAAAAAAAGAAAAAAGAAAAAAAGTAAAATATGTTTTGGGCCTATAGACATTCTTCATATAGTATCTGGATTTTTGGGTGGGCCCAAGCGCTTAATAAACCGTTAGGCCCATTAAATCGACCCGAATGAAAGTGCTTTGACCCGACCCGCCAATTTTATTTCATTTAATATTTTTCTTTTAATAATATCTAAATTTGTAAAATAAATAAAAAATTGAAAAATATAGAATCGCATTCAACCACCATCGTGAATAGTTAGTTTCTGCTGCTCACGACTCTCTCTCTCTACAGTTAAAACTCTCTCTCTCTAGATTCCGATCTGGTTCAGAAACATTTTTCCAATGGCCGTGGATCAAGTGGAGTTCTCCACCGAACAGGTATGCCATAACTACCATAAATACACCACGCATTTGTTTCTGCTGCTCAAAATCAGTAAATCACACACGGCCAATTCGCTAATTGCTTATTTTTTTTTTTTTTTTTTTTTGGTGAAGGTTTTGAGCAGAGATATTCCATGGGAGACTTACATGACAACTAAGCTAATTACAGGGACTGGACTTCAGCTTTTGCGGAGATATGATAAGAAGCCTGAAAATTACAAGGCTCAGTTGCTGGATGATGTAATTTTTCTCGAATATATGTTGCGTTGCTTTTATTATTATCAGATTAATTGTAAATTAGAATTTTTTTGGGTACTTATCGTGCATTTTCCGATTATATTTTTGAATTTGTTCTGAAAAATTGCTCAATTACAAAATGTCTAGGTTTTCTGATAATGTAGTGGATGTTTTGTCTATGTAAAGGTTTTCATATTGGTCACATAATTCTGTTTTTCCATCAGTTGATACCTTGAAAACTGAGTAATCGATGATATGGTTGGAATTTAATTTTTTGATATGGTGCATAATCTTGGTTGTAAATGTATGTGACAAAAGATTTTCATTAATCATGAGTTGATAGTTTGGGGAAAAAAAAACTATTGCAGGATGGCCCAGCATATGTTCGTGTTTTTGTTAGCATTCTGCGTGACATATTCAAGGAAGAAACGGTGGAATATGTTTTGGCTCTCATTGATGAGATGCTCTCAGGTGACTGAATAAATGCATGTGCCCTACGATTAAATTTAAGCAATATCAAATGGCTAACCTTTGTTTTTTTGGCTTTTTTTTCCATCGCAGCAAATCCGAAAAGAGCTAGGATATTTCACGACAAGTCTCTCACTGATGAGGACATATACGAGCCTTTCCTGAGGCAAGGATTCTGCATTTGTTATTTTGTATCTTAAATCTGTCTACTGTAGTTTGTGAAGAAGTTTTTTTGATGTCCTTGAAATGAATGACAAGCTCTCGTTTTTGTTGCAGATTGCTCTCGAAAGGTAGCTGGTTTATACAAGAGAAGAGTTGTAAGATACTCTCTTTGATAGTAAGGTATGAAAAGATTTACATTGTTGTCCATGTGGACTATATTAGTCGTCTTCGGCAGGACTTAAAACTTTTTTTTTCGTTTATTTCAGTGGAAGGCCAAAAGATCACGAGAGTAATGGGACATTAGGTTCAAAGAAGGAAATCCCTACTGTAAATGATGTTTGGAAGGGACTGGTTGAGTGGCTATGCGCTCAGGTTTGTGCTCTTTCACTCTTCGTATTCTTTATTTCATTAGTTTTGTTGTGCATGTGAAAATATGATGAATAAACGATGTAAAATGTAACTTCAGATTAGCAATATTTTAGGCCATTGTCTAGTTATTCCCTTGTGGAGAATTGAAGGCTCAAATCTAAACGAATGAGTGCCATAATACACGAACTTAAGAGTACTTATAGGCGGGCCCGCTTCAATTTTCATATTCTGCAAGAGTTTTTCATAATTCGTTCTGTTTATGACTAATTGTGAGTTGAATATCTTTATGAATTTCAAAATGACGAACCTTCATTCAATAGTATATTAGCCACCAAAGCCTTGTGTTTATGCTTTTTTACTTATACAGCTGAAGAAACCGTCCCATCCTAGCCAAGGCATTCCAACAGCTATAAATTGCCTTGCAACTCTACTGAAAGAGCCTGTGGTGCGATCTTCATTTGTTCAAGCAGATGGAATAAAGTTGCTCATTCCTCTGATTACTCCAGCATCCAGTCAACAATCCATTCAGGTAAAGTCCATTCATAATTACATTGTACAGTTGAGTTGTTATCGTTGGCTTTGTGATAGTAACGCATGATTTCTTATAACTGGATATCCGAAACAGCTCCTCTACGAAACATGCCTTTGTATGTGGCTCCTGTCTTACTATGAACCTGCAATCGAGAACTTGGCTACTTCTAGATCCTTGCCACGGTTGATTGATGTTATGAGGGGATCCACAAAAGAAAAGGTGAGTTTCTTATTAAGATGCAATTATTATTAAGGCAAACATATTTACTTTTTTGGACCTCCTTATTTGTCAGTTACATCGATGATTGGATTTTTTTTTCCCTTATAATTGATAATAAATTTCCTTATGAGATAACTTTCTATCGACTGCTCGTAGGTTGTCAGGGTAGTTGTCTTGACTCTGAGAAATTTGTTGCACAAAGGGACGTTTGGTGCTCAAATGGTAGACCTTGGATTGCCGCAACTTGTTCAGAGCCTGAAAGCTCAGGCATGGAGTGATGAGGTGAGAAAATATTATTTCACGTGATAGGTAGACAGTTTTCTAGTATTGATTTAATAATTTATTTAAGTTGATTTCAACATCTGCTTTGGCGCTTGATATATATAGCTACGAACTTGCTCTGCAGGATTTGCTGGAAGCCCTGAACCAACTGGAAGAAGGGCTGAAAGATAACATCAAGAAGCTAAGTTCTTTTGAGAAGTATAAGCAGGAAGCCCTCCTCGGACATCTTGATTGGTCACCCATGCATAAAGATCCTATTTTCTGGCGCGACAATATTACACACTTTGAAGAACATGATTTTCAGGTTTAATTCCATGTCAACTGATGAAATCTCTTTTTTTTTTTTTTTAATTTATTACAGAACTGATGTATTGACATGTTCTTGCAGATTTTGAGAGTCCTGATTACGATTTTGGACACATCGAGTGATTCTCGAACACTGGCTGTTGCTTGCTATGATCTGTCACAGTTCATTCAGTACCATCCAGCTGGGCGGATTATCGTGAACGACCTAAAAGCAAAGGAGAGGGTGATGAAGCTGATGAACCATGAAAATGCAGAAGTTACTAAAAGTGCCCTACTCTGCATCCAAAGGTTGTTTTTAGGTGCCAAATATGCCAGCTTTTTGCAGACTTAGACTGTTGTTTATAGAAGTCGTCGTTTTTTCTTTCCTTTCCGAATCAATTTAATGATTTTTTTTTTTGAACAATAAAGTGGAAGTTTGCTTGTATATTTTCTACCCATCAGGAGCATTGGAGGAAGAGTGTTTGTTCACTGTGATCAATGTGTGAAGAGTTAATTATATTTTCTCAAAACAATATGTGATTTCAAATTTGTATCTTATGTATTGATCAATAATATCATTCCCAATTTTTTTCCAATATCTTTCCCCTTTTTTTCAGATGTCTTTCCCAATTAATAAAAATATAAATTCAAGAGATACATAGCTATTTTTTCCAACATCTTTCCCAAATTCTCTTGTACCTCTGTTCTTTTATTAACCATAAACACTGTTCTACTAAAATAATGTATTGACTTTCATGTGTTGTATAAATTCACATTGCAATAGAGAAAATATAATAGATGCTACACCCGGTGAAATACATGGGGTGATTTTTGTATTTCACGGGTTATAGGATCAACTAAACCCAACTTGTCTGCATCTTTCATTAGTTGACTTTAGTAATAGATCGTGCTTGCCTGTATCAAAAGATATAAAACAAATAAGAATGTGTAATGAAAACTCGAAATTGCTGGCTCACTCACAATCCAAATAAATTCAACTTTGTATGGTTGAAAATTTCGTAACAAATTTAGTCCTCATTTGATAATGTAGATAAAACTGCTTTGATTAAATTTGATTACTTTGTGTATCAAGTTTGTCCTGATTATAGAAGATTGATAATCACTTCCCTTTGATTTCTGTTCTCTAGGCTTAAAGCTCTGGTCTTTTGATAACTTTCTGTATACTTGAGATGGCTTATGCTGCTCTTGTTTCACTTGAACTAACCATAGCCGACATCCTGAATCATGATAGCTATTCGATTTTTTCTTATCGAAAGAAAAAGATCATATCTATGAATAAAAATGTTACTTTACTGAAACCATTTCTTGAAGATTTTCCAGAGAAAGTCAACAACATTCTAGAAGGACGAATGAGGGACCTAGCGAATCACGTCGAAAATTTTATGGAATACTTTATGGAGAGAAGAATTTGTTACGATTCGATGAACCGGACAGCAAAGGTTAAGCTTTTATTCGAGCTTTACGAAGTCGCTGGACAAGTTGATTCAATGGCTGCAGAGGTATTGAACATAAAAAAAAAGATGCGGCTCGGTGAAGATTATTCTGCTGCTGCTGCTGCTGCCGCTGCCGCCGCTTCATCATCATCTAGACTTGCACCCACCCACGAAAAGGAAGCCGCTGTTGGTTTTGATGATGATGATGATGGTGATTTGTTAGCAATAAAGGAGAGGCTTTGTGGAGATCAATCATCCAAACTTCAAGTGATCTCAATAGTTGGCATGGGAGGTATTGGTAAGACTACTCTTGCTACTAATGCTTATCTTGATCCGTTAATTATCGAGTCTTTTCATATCCGCGCTTGGGTCACTGTATCACAAGTTTATAGTGCACAAAAAGTTTTTTCAGACCTCTTAACTTCAATGAAAAAATCAAACACTGAAGAATCATCAATGGCTTAGATGTGTACCAAATGTTGAAGGGTAGGAGGTATCTGGTTGTAATAGATGATATCTGGAGCACAAAGGCTTGGGATGATATAAAGAGGATATTCCCCAATGACAATAATGGAAGTCGAATCATTTTAACCACAAGGCTGACAGATGTGGCTGCTTATGCCGACTCTTCTAACCCTCTCCATGAGATGCAGCTCATGGGTATGGATCAAAGTTGGGATCTGCTTCGACGGAAAGTGTTTAAAGAAGAAAGTTGTCCTTCTGAATTGGTGAACATTGGGAAGAAGATTGTGGGAAGTTGTAGAGGACTGCCGCTTGCAATTGTTGTGATTGGAGGACTCTTATCCAAGGTGAGCAGGACTCGAGCTTCGTGGAAAGAAATTGCAGAAAATATGGTAAAGTCAGCCATTAATTCTACGGAAGATGGGCGGATTGAAAATATATTGTCTTTGAGTTACGCATACTTACCTCATTATTTGAGGCCGTGTTTTTTATACTTTGGAGCTTTTCCTGAAGATCATGAGATTCGTGTCTCGAAATTCATCAAACTGTGGATAGGTGAAGGATTTATCAAATCAAGCGTATCATATAAAAGCTCTGAAGAGATGGCTGAAGACTATCTGGAGGATCTTGTGAAGAGAAGTCTTGTTATGGTCTCCCAAAGGAAGTCGAATGGAAGAATCAAACGTTGCAGAGTCCACGATGTCATGCGGGAATTGTGCATAAGAAAAGCCCAACAAGACAAGTTTCTTGTACATGTTATGGGCGATACTAATGTTTCCAAAAAAAGCTTAGAAGATTATCGACGTGTATGTTTAACTCAATCTCGTGATCTAGACGGGCTTGAAGATATTTATGGTTTAACAATCCGTACAATTATATGCTTCCGGGAGAGTGCATGGTCAAGTTGTAGTTTACGATATTTCAAGTTCCTCAGGGTATTGGATTTGGAATATGCTTGTGACTTTGATCCCGATGTTAAACTTATCTCCCCGAGCCTTGGGGGAGTGTTTGACTTATTTCATTTAAGGTACATTGCTTTTGGCTTTTCGGTTAAAATTCCAGCAGGCATATCAAAACTTCAGAATCTTCAAACCTTAATCATTAATCCAAGGACGGAAGATACGTTATTATTTCCCCATGTCGTAAGTTGGCGGTCCGAAATTTGGAGGATGCCACAGCTAAGGCACGTGTACTTCAATTTTAGCGCGTCGCCAGATCCAGAAGATGGAGCAACTTGTGTTATAGAAAACCTGCAAACCCTATGTGTGGTAAGAAATCTTACATTTACAGAGAGCATCATAAAAATGATTCCAAACGTTAAGAAGTTGGGGATATACTATTACTCCGAAGGCATAGAGAAGATTGGACAGTTGGAGAATCTTGTACATCTGCAACAACTTGAGAATTTGAAACTAACTGTAATAAAAGGTATGTGTTCTTCTCCGGCGTTTCCTCGGACACTGAAAAAGTTAAACTTGGGAGGTGGTCGTTGTTAAGTATATATTTTTATACTTTATCGTACCTTTTTATTTGAGCTTTTGGTGTGATTTAACGATAATTGGTGCGTAAAAAGTTGATTTATTGTATTTTAGGTATAAATTGAAGAATTGGAAAAGTTTGGGGACAAACTGCAATTTTGGAGAAAATATGGGCCAAAAGTGAAATAATCAAAAATCTGAAGAAATTGGCACGGGACGGCCGTCCCAAATTTACACCTAAAAATGGGACGGCCGTGCCAAATGCAGAAATTTGGCAGAAGGTTTCGGCGATTCTCGCGCGGCCGTGTGAGAATTGCACTGATTTTCGCGCGGCCGTGCCAACACACGCTGGAGACAATTTTGGACTTTTAATCACACAAGGAAACCTAAAATCATCTACCAAGTTGGGACATCTATTTAAGCCCAAACCAAACACGAATTAGAGGGACTTTTGACACAACCTTGGAGCGAGAGTAGCGAGAGAACGAAGAATCGAAAACGGAGAATTGACAAATTTTCATCAGAATTCTTCTTTCACCTATCTTTTCTTAATCTATTTCTTTTTATATTTTTATTATGTTTTTCGTAGAGAACATGCGTAGCTAAGTTTTTAATCTAGGATTTTATTGGAACCCTATGTAGGGATGGTGAACCCGTTTTCTTGAGATTATGCAATTATGATTTTATGATTATTTCTTCTACTTGTTATGATTGTTAGTGCATGAACTTGATCAATTTATGTGTTTTATCTGTGATTATTGGGATTGACTCGACAGAGCTATTTTGATAATTAGACGGTAAGTATAAGAATCTTCGAGTAGTTTTTACCGGATGAGTGTGTCAATTGCATGTGGTGTCGTAGACATACAGATATCACCTTAGGTAGCCATTTACGAGACTTGTTAGTTAATGCTTTATTCATAATTTGTTTGCATAGACATATAGTGAACCGTTTATGAATAATAGACTCATAATACACGCGACAGCTGGTTATGAGTAAATTAGTGTCTCAGGTTAATAATCATGAATCATATATTTCATAATTGAGGGGTTTTGGGTGAGCAATTCTTGCATAGGGGGAAGATAAAATCCTAGGTCCGTTTATATTGATATTTTCTCGTGTTTATTTGCTTTCATAATTAGTTTAATTATTTAGTTGATTATATTTGACAACTTTGCGTAGGCTGGATCAAAATCATAATTGTTAGAATTTGGTACTTAGGATTAGATAATTTGAGTATTCCCTGTGGGATGGACATCCGACTCTCACGAGTCCACTTTTACTACTTGTTTGCGATACGTGCACTTGCGTGTTAGGTATTTAGCACCCAACAGTCGCCGACTTCCTATGGATGAAGATGTGATGAGGAATGTCGGTTCGCTGCCTAATCTTCAAGTGCTTAAACTAAGAAATGCAGCTTTCGATGACGACAAATGGGAGACAAGGGACGGAGAGTTCCCTGTGCTGAAATATCTGCTTATTGAGAGATCGGATCTCAAGGAATGGATAACTGAAAGTAGTAGCCACTTCCCGAGCCTCAAATGCCTAGTGCTTCGTAACTTTAGGCATTTGATTGAGATTCCAGACGTTATTGGAGAGATCCCAACACTTGAACTCATTGAGATCGAGGGATCTAATAGACCTCTTTGGGCATCTGCCAAACGGATAAGAGAGGAACAAGAAAGTTGGGGAAATGATATCCTTCAAGTTCGTTGCGTACCAAACTCAACGGTGCGGTGGCCTTTCTATCAATTTTGATCGTGTTCTGAAGAAGAAGAAGAAGAAGAAGAAGAAGAAGAAGAAGAAGAAGAAGAAGAAGAAGAAGAAGAAAAAATGATATAATTGATTTGCATCCATTTTTGGGTGGTCCCGTTTCTTCTACTTGTGTTTCGATTCCTTGAATTTCGATTTTTTGGGTGGTGTACAATGTATCATTTCTACCATAAAGAAAATCCGTACCAGATTCAAAAAACTTCTTTGTATAATTTTTTTAATCAATATCATGACTTGTTGAAATAAAACAGTTCTAATACAAATTGGGGATAAGAAAAGATTTCCGGTTGAATTGTACCTGATAGTTTATGATCTGTGTGAATGGTTCTGTCTGACTCTTATTCATATTAAGGAAAGTGCAGTGCTAGCTGACCGACCGTTGTACAACGGGTTTTACATGCAATGGATACTTATTTTTACCGACCGTTATCAAACGCTTTCTGCAGTAACACAAATTCATCTATAAATTAATGTTGTTTTAACACAAATTTATTTAAGGGGCTTTTTGATTTAGGTTTATCGACACATTGTTTATTTAATACAAAAAGATTTGTATTATAGGAGGCAACAAATTACTGTATTTTTAATACAAGTGGTAGTCATATTGGGTACATTTGTGTGGAAATACAATGATGGATTACAAAACAATATTTGGTTACGTGCTTAGGTATATATATCAATCATGTTTAGATTATTGTAAACATTATGGAGTGGTTTTTGATGAGAGAGAGAGAGAGAGAGAGAGAGAGAGAGAGAGAGAGAGAGAGAGAGAGAGAGAGAGAGAGAGAGAGAGAGAGAGAGAGAGAGAGAGAGAGAGAGGGACTAGAACAAACTGACAGAGGAAATGGATTCAATCACTAGAGAGGTGAAGAAGAAGGCCATCCAGATTAACAGCGTCGTCGCAGCAATGAGAGATGCGAGCCTTGCTGATGAAGCTTTTGCTGCTGCTGCTGCTTCATCATCAAGAGTTTCACCCTCCCATAAAAAAGAAGCCATGGTTGGTTTTGATGATAATTTGATGGAAATAAAGCAGCGGCTTTGTGGAGAACCATCAAAACTCCAAGTCATCCCAATTGTTGGCATGGATGGTATAGGTAAGACTACTCTTGCTCGAAATGCTTATCAAGATCCACTAATTATCGAGCATTTCCACATTCGTGCTTGGGTCACTGTATCACAAGATTACAGCGCACAAAGAATTCTTTCCACTCTCCTAGGTTCCATGAAAGAATTTAACATAGGAAGATTTGGAAAATCAATGATCACGAAAAGTTGTACAAAATATTAAAAGGTAGGAGGTACCTGATTGTAATGGATGATATGTGGAGCACAAATGCCTGGGATGATGTAGGGAGGATATTTCCCGATAATGGTAGTCGAGTCTTGTTAACCACAAGGTTGTCAGATGTTGCTGATCTTGCGGGCTCTTCTAGCCCGCTTCATCAAATGCATCTCATGGATGAACATCAGAGCTGGAATTTGCTTCAGCGGAAGGTGTTCGAGCACCAACGTTGTCCGCCTGATTTGGAAGAAATCGGAAAAGAGATTTCAAGAAGATGTGGAGGACTGCCTCTTGCAATTGTCGTGATTGCGGGATTCTTGTACACTACGACTCCAAATTTTTGGTGGGAAATAGCAGAGAATCTGAATTCAGCAATTGCTACAACAGATGGACAGTTTCAAAAGATATTGTCTTTGAGTTACACGCACTTGCCTCATCATTTGCGGCCATGTTTCCTATACATGAGTGCTTTCCCAGAAGATTACGAGATCCATACCCGGAAGCTAATAAAATTGTGGATAGCTGAAGGGTTTATTCAGTCTAGTAATTCTAGAAGCTTCGAAGAGGTAGCAGAAGAATATTTGGAGGATCTTGTCAAGAGAAGTCTTGCTATGGTCTCGAGAAGTCCAGTGGCAAAATCAAAAGTTGCAGTATCCATGATCTCATGCGGGAGTTGTGCATGAGAAAAGCCAAGCAAGAGAAGTTTCTTCTACATGTTACCAATGGAATTATTGCCAAGAAAAGTATAAAGAATCAACGACGTCTATGTGTCAATGAATCTGATCTAAATTGCCTCGCAAACATTTTTGGATCAACCACCCGTACTATTATATACTTCCCGCATGGTACAGGTTCAACTGGGCATTTAGAACACTTTACATTCCTCAGGTTATTGGATGTGGTATATGATCATTTCAACTTCTCCCACTCCGAAGAAACTGTAAGGTTCCCTGCACATGTGTTTGAATTATTTCATTTGAAGTACCGTGCTTTCTACTTTCCGATAACAGGCAATGGTCGGCATGTGGAGATTCCATCTGTCATATCGAACCTTGAGAATCTTCAAACATTAATCATTCCTAAAAAGAGTCACCAGCCATGTATTGTAGATTTGCCGTTGGAAATTTGGAGGATGCCACAGCTAAGGCACATTATCTGCTTCTACATTGGCCGGTTGCCAAATCCAGAGGAGGGAGCTACTTCTGCTCTAGAAAATCTGCAAACCCTCTCGGAGGTAAGAGATCTTGTATGCACAGAAAGCATCGTGAAAATGATTCCAAACGTTACGAAATTGGGTCTTTTTTTCTCTAAAGATGAAAATGATCATCAAGACTATCACCTCGAGAATCTTGAACGTCTGCGAAAACTTGAGAAACTGAAACTAACTGCGAATAAAGCTTTGCATTTCCGGCGGGGGAAGGTTAATCCTACATTTCCTAGGACGCTGAAAAAGTTAACCTTGAGCGGGTGGGAACTTTCTTGCGAAGATATGAGGATTGTTGGTTCGCTGCCTAATCTTCAAGTGCTTAAACTAAAAAATTTCGCTTTAGATGGCGACACATGGGAAACAACCGAGGGAGAATTTTCTCAGCTGAAGTTTCTGCTACTGCACTATACAGATCTCGGGCATTGGATAAGTGAATCCAGCCACTTCCCAATCCTCAAGTGCCTATTCCTACATCATTGTCAATACCTAAGTGAGATTCCAGACGGCATTGGAGATATTCCAACACTCGAACTCATAGAGGTTAAGGGAGATAACATATATCTTGCGCAGTCGGCCAAACAGATACAAGAGATCCAACGTGAATATGGAAATTACGACCTTGAAGTTCTCTGCATCGATTGTATATTTTAATTTATTTTTGCATGTGAAATTTGTATTCGTTTGTTTTATATGTTTGTAACACGACTTTCAAATTCATCTACAGATTCATGTCTTCCTTGTTTGATCCTTGAGCTGGAGTGTGTGTGTGTGTGTATTCATAGTTTATTACTTTCAGTTATTGAAGAGATTCTTGGTTAATTTAACACTTTCGGTTTCAATTCACTATGTTATGAATCTAACTCTATTCATCATGTTTAGATTCATTTGAACAGCCAGCGTTATCGTAAACATTATTGTTACAATAATTGGAAAATTTTAATTCAGAAGGACGAAATTTCTAAAATATTTCGCTTAGCAATTCAGATTCCACTATTCAAAAAAAGAAGCAATGCATCTTCATTTCAGCATCTCCGCTTCTATTGACGTCGATTTTTTAGT